TATATATAGATATATTTCTTCTCCCTGCAGCCTCCACTTTTCTTTGCATGCTACTCAGTGATCTTTCAAAGCCTTACTAAACAGAAACATGCTGAGAAAGTGAATGCTGCTTGGATTGATGATGTTTGATAGTGTCTTGGACGTAATGCTTATTTGCTTTTGTTAAATGAAGGCTTACAGAGCCAGTAAGAGATAACCAAGTTTATGAAGAGTTTTAAACAGATTAAAATGTACATTTCTCCAAGAATAAAACTAAATACGATAAAGCAAACAGAAAATCATACAGATACTATCACTGGGGAAAAAACAAAGAAGAAAAAAGAAAATAAAGCAATTTTGAGCACAGACTTTTGCATCAGTTTACCAAACATCCGTAGCAAATGTTGAGATCCATAGATATACGAGGGAGGTGGTGGTTGATCACTTGGTGGATAATTGTCTGGCATCAACTTCCAAGACAAAACCTAAACAGAAAACACGAAAAACGTTAGTTATGAAATCTTTATAGCACAATAAATAACTTAGCCTGTACAGAACTTCAAAATCAAAGAGGAAATAAGTAATACAAACAAAACCTTTTCTTACATAGCCCTACTCTGAGGTCCACAAAACCTTCAATCATTGAGTCTTGGACAGTAACATAAAAATCCGTTACCTCATTCAATTCATTGTTTCTTCTACCTTCAAAGCCAGTAAAAACCGCACTCCCCTCTTTGCTAGGAGTCAAAGTTATAGGCGAAGATGATCCACTATGGACAGGGGTCTCTTCAAAAGGGAAGGAAAAACATAACAAAATAAATCAGAAATAAAATTTATTTGTTTTATGGAACTATAAGCCATTACACATAATTAAGGTCTGCTGCTAAACTGTTTAAACGCTGGAATTCAATAAATGCTATATATAAGTAGGCTCATGGAAAAGCAGCTCCTTGAATTCTGTTGAGAAATACAGTACCAAAGTACTGAGAATATTGCTTTGTATTGCTCCCTTTGATATAAGGCCTCAGAGATTAGTAACTGATACAAAAAGTAATGAATTCCTACTTCAATCACGCAGCTCACAGTCCACACAGTATTAAAAAAAAAAAGAACAGGACTTAAGATCTCGTTAAGAGCAAAACCTACTTTTTTCCAGGTGTAAGAAGAGCTTTGGCATAGAAGCTGGGGTCTCAAGATGCCGTCGTTTAGGTTGTGGGGAAGCACTGCTTTCCGATAACCTGTCACAGTTAGAGCTATGGCGTGTAGAACGTCTCAACGATTGTAGAATTTCAGGTTCAGCTTTTCGTCTTTTTGGCGTGGCTGGCTCCCCTGTTGTAGGCTGGCTGTCAGTTGACTGAGGCGTTGGCGGATTCAACAGAGGAGGACTTGGGGAAAGCTCCTCCTGATTTCTAGGAAATAAAGGCAGCTTTACAGAAGTGAAGAGATCAAGGCTCTTCCCCTAAAAAAGATTCTTCCAGTTTCACAGATCTTGTTAAAATACTTAATCAGATTAGACAGTCTCCTCCCAATAACTATCAAAGTGATGAGGTCTTCTTTTAAATACTATTTTCCAGAAGTATATTTATTTTCAAATTTAAAAGTTACGGAACACAAATTTACATTTCAATGTAATTTTTTTCCCCATAAAGCTGCAGCATAACTCTGCACCAGTCAATACAAATGCCTTTTGAAGTCAACCAGATAGAAATTCAGAACCTGAATTCAGGCAAGCAATTCACAAAGTTCAGCATTTTATCAAGACAATTTTTAAGTCAAAGTCTGCAAGAAACCATCCTAATCTGAAAACATAACCACATTCTATTGCATTTTCCTCAGGAGATAAGCAGTATTAGACTTCTTATACCCCACTTACCTGTTAGTATTTGTTGAGTTTTCTTTGATGGGAAGAAAGAATTTTGATGAAGTCACCTTCTTAAATTGAGCTTGTTCGTAAGGATAGAGCAAAATTAATGGAAGTGTAAAGTCAAAGGTTATTCTCAGCCCATCCACCATCTCTTTACATAGCTCAACACTAGAGGATAAAAAAAAAAAGGGATTATGAATTTCAAAGTTGCATGTCAAAATTTTTCAGTGTGATTGTAGGAAATTCCCCTGTAATACAGATCATTAACATCTTAACTACAATATGCTGATTTCATCACTAAGTAACGATAAGTGATTAAAAGCATTCTTAAAGACACAGTAATTGCTGTTGGTAACTTCAGACAAATACAAATTTTAAAAGTCTGCTTAATAAACTCAAACAAAACGATACAATTATTCTGTTGTATTACCATTTACTGGATTAATAAAATCTGCTTGATAGTAAATAAAAGTTAGTCAGATGTTTTTGATGTAAGCATTATTTTGTTTGTCCAAGTTTACTATGCTCAAAAAAGAGGCACCTGCCAAAAAAAGTAAGTACTCAGTAAATTGAATCTCTGCCTAAAACAGATGTGCAGAATTTGATCTACAGCTGCTAAGATGCAGTTAAGGCTGTGCTTAAGATATATACAGTGAATCCACAAAACCAGATATATTTGCGTTGGAGATCAGTTTCCAATGGCCTGCTGCAGTAAGCAGAGCACTACATTTAGAGGCTACTAGGAATTTCACTTTTAGGCTTGTGTAAAAGACTGACAGTATTAGGTGGGGAGATGTGCTGTTATAAGCAGAACCAAGAAAAAGTGTGGCCTATCTGCAGCATCTCTCACCTCTATGAAAGTATACATCTCTCACATTTCAAGTGCATACATGTGTATGGTAACAGTAATTTGATTCTGCCAAAATGTCCCACATTAGAAATTCTGTACCTCCTATTACCATTCCATACCACCTGCTAAGAAGTACTGCTTTTTAAATTGGGTCAGGGGGGCCATCAGGTGCAGAAATTCTATCACGTCTGAGAAGGTCAATTAGCTTCCATGTTAAAGCAGTAAGGGCAACACAATAAAGTTGTCAGCTGAATCTGTCCTACTTAATGGATCACTGAAATTATACACATTTTTCCTTATTAAAGCACTGTCTTTATTGAGGAGGTCACTTAAACATACATCTTTAAAAAAATCACAATGTGCATACAATCTTCTGTTCACATTTCTGATCTCTCATCTAACT